TCACTGCAAGAAAAGCAAATGGAGCATCATCTTGAATGTGCATTATTTTGCTGTAATCTAAAAGAGCCATATTTCATCAGCAGCACAGATTTTACAGTATTAGTGTGCATGCAAATATCTGCATACATAGATTGCTTCTCCTGCTTGCAGATACTGGTGGATCAAATAATTCAGTGCAGTGTTTTGCTTCCTGTTCAGTTCTCCCGTAAAACCGCAAAGTACAAATCTCAAGTCCAAGAAATACTTCTCTCTTGTGGACATTAAAAGCATTTCCAGACTGTACAGCATGCAGCCAGAAGTGACCATTTATGCGATACCATAAGCCAGTTTAGTGGATGAGTCACGCATGTTTCAATGACTGCAGTCAGTGACTCAATTAATCCTCTGCACTGACACGATAGCCAAACCAGAACGAGTACACTGTGGACGGCACCAAACGGAAGTTCCATCTTCCAAACATTCTCTTCCCAGAAATAAGCTATGATAATCGCACAGCTCCAGCTGTTACTCTCACTCATATTCAAGAGAGATGAAGTATCCAGAGAGCCCTATTACATGGCAGTCAGAATTTGTCACTGACTACCACATGGAGTTATTACAGTTATTCCTTTAATTTATCTGTCCCTAACCAATTACTGTTCTTTCACATAAGCAGTAATAAAATACCAGGTAGCAGGTACTTTGCTACAGCACAAGGATAGGATATCTAGCATGATAATGTCTGTCATTGTGAATCCTGTGGAATCATATTCAGTTATATCCAAACTACAGACCTCAAAGGGAAAAAATTATCTGAAGAGACTGTTGGTTTTTTTTCTTTTGAGAACGTGATAACTTTTTGCACACAAGTGTGCAAGTGTAATCCCACCACCCTGATTCCATCTTCACAAAGCAGTGTAAGGGCAGAATATGGTGAGCCTTACCACTGGGCAAGGGAAGTGGGAGCTTACAAAACACAGGCTCTTCAGTGCCACTACAATTGCAATGCAGGGAGGGGAGGGAGCTGGCAGAGGCTGAATTCTGTACTCTTGATGTACCAAACTACCCAGCTGGCTGGAACAGTGATGGGGAAGAAAGCTACATCAGGCCCAAAACTAGCAGAGGCTGCTTTTCCCTAGATCCTGGGAGAAGCAGGAGGCATATTGCAACACACATCACAATGTGGTACATTGTCTGTTTCTGGAGCAGCAACACAATTGGCAGTTACAGCAAACCCAAGCTGGAGTGCAACGTGCTCCCTTCACAGATAGGCTAGCCCTCTACTATTAAGGCCACTGGCAGGCTGCATAAACCTGCCTTCGATATAAGCCCCCACTTTTGACACAGTGATTTTGATAACCTTGTCATTTAGCTCAGTTAATGCACTCCACCCATAGGATGGAATGAGTTTCTAAAAAACAGTTCCTGTTAGAAATCTCCCAGGGAAGACAGGAGTTAAAAAGCTATGCAGCACCAACATGATTCCCCTGAAGGAAGAAACTATTTTTAATCTCAAATATTCATCAAGTCTGTTTGGCTCAGCAAGAATATGCAGAAATAAACAGAACCACCTAAATGTTAAAGAGATCTGTGCCAAAGATTTAGCCTCTCCCTTGTTATTCCTGGGAGGTCTCCAGAAAACTGCAAGGCAGGCTCAGAGCCTGTAACTGTAACCATTGCCTTCTGTTCATTCGAAGAGTATAATGAAACAGGTGAAACACTGGTCTAAAAACAAACCAGAAACTGTAAACCAAGAAAAAAAGCACTCTGTCATTACACGCACAAATCAGCTAAATTCTCCAGTAAATCAACCAAATCAACCCACCTCAGCTTTTTCACACTCTGACTGTTGTTAATAGTTTCAAGCACTCACCGCTTGGAAGTTCCACACTAGTTATCCTAGAAGGAGGGGATGAGCCTGCTCCATTTTTGGCTACAACACTGATGTTACAGTCATTTTTTCCAAGTTCGATGTCGGTGCTGTTTAAGGATGCAGGGATCTCCTTGGATTGTACTGCTGTATCCAGATAACATGATACTACATGGGAGTGTATTATCCCATTTGCTTCAAGGAGAGGTAGTGGCTAAGCAACAGAGAAAGAAATTATGTTTAAAAACAAAAAATGCATTTAAAAACAAGACCTAGGATGATACACATCTAATGGTTAGAGTGTCTTACCACACAAAAGACTAATGCAAGAATGGGTTATGAGTTAACAAAAGTACTTAGGACATCTATGACCAAGGAATAAATTTAAGAAAGATATTTTGTGGGCAAATTTATTTAACACAACATTAGTAATTAACAGAGAGATATAACTATAGCGAGAGAGAGAGAGAGAGAGAGAGAGCGCGCGCGCGCAGGCAAGCACCTTTCTAGGATAACATTTTAGTGTGGGGCAATAACTGCCTCATTAAATTAGCACTATTAAATACTGAACCTCAATCAGATTATTTCAACTATAATCTTAGCACACTCCAAAAGTGCATAGGAAAACCAATTAATATAAATATATACCTTCCAAAAGATTTTTACTACATTTCCTCCAACAGAGCTTCTCTCTCTCCAGATATCTGGTCCCCTCACAGGAGCTAAAAGGAGATTTATTAGTGATATGAGACAATTTAATATGCAGCAATAAAAATGAAGTATTGTACTTGACATTAAAGTAAATGGTGTACACTTTCTATGTTAGATAAACATAATAATAACAACTTCAATAAACTTACGGGCCTCCCATGTTGTCCACTGTTTTTTCTCGCTCCAGTTACTCCATTTCCAGAAGTGGTCAGCTGCTGAACAGCGCACCCTGAATGTGTATGCAGTATTTGGATGTAACATGTCCAGCTGAGCTTCATAGCAAGAATTTACTGTACCATATACTGTGACATTGTCCTGTTAACAGTTAATAGAAGGAAAAAGAAATCATATAAAATTCTATAGTGTTATACTAGAAACAACACCTAAAAATAAATCTGAAAACAACTACAGTATGAATGATGAATAATCAGGGACCTATATAATTTCTTATATCTACAG